TTCAAATTAATCAAATTAATCAAGAATTATCCGACCTTAAAGATAACACTACAAAACAAATAAACGAGGTTGAACATTTCTTCTCTGAATTTATCAAAAAAATCAACAGTAGAAAACAACAGTTGGTCTCTGAAATTGAGAAGCAACACGACGTACTGGAAACATCACTCAATATTGAGAAAAAGAAACTGCAGATGAGGCAACATATTGTCGACACTTCTGTGAAATTCACAGAATTCACACTAAAATATGACAGTGATGTGGAACTATTGACAACTAAATACGATGTATGCAGTCAACTGGACAAGGTCTCATCACAAACAATACCAGATCACAAATCAACGACAGAACAGTTCCCACGATTCTTTCATCCTCAGAGTGTAAATCTAAATATGGTAAATAATACAGTGTTTAGTGGGCATCATGGTAAGATCAGTTGTGACGTCACTAATAGTGATGCAGTAGTTGGTAAAACCTGCAATTTCACTATAACCCCACGTGACATGAATGGTAAACAACTTGGTGTATCTGCAATTCCTGTAGAGGTCACACTAAGTGACCCTGTTAACCGAAATATGGTCACCACTACAGATGACAATGGTGACGGGACTTACATGGTGAAGTACATACCACAGAGAGAAGGAACACACCACGTGGCTGTCACGTTATATAGTACGCCGATAGAGGGCAGCCCATACATCATTGATGTAAAACCAGCAAGAAAGATCAAGTGTGACGTTCATACACATGGGAGAGTGGTGAATATGGATTGTACAACAACCATTCGTTATCTCGCCGACATGGAAGCCTTACCTGCCTTAGTCCGTGATCCTGAAAGTCTGCCTGTGGAAACTCACATCACCACTAAACATGAGGTGACCTTTCGACCTACTAAGGTAGGACGTCATGAAATAGTTTTGAATAAGTATGGTGCGCCTGCAGATTGTAACCCATATATCATTGATGTGATAGATACCAAGGGACTGTGGAAAGTAGGTAGAACAGGGGTGAACAATGAAGAATTCAACATTCCAATAGACGTATCCGTTAACAAGAAGGGCAACGTTTTGGTAGCAGACGCTGGTAACAAAAGGATACAGATACTTGACAGCAATGGAAAATACATTGGTCACATCCTAGTGGATTTACCTCACATATCTGGTGTTGCCATGGCACCAAATGGTAATATTGTCGTGGTAGAATGGGAAACTAAACACGTTCATGTCTATAATGAGAACAGAGAAAAGATAAAACAGTTTACGTATAAAGAATTTGTCAAACCTTATGGCATAACTGTAAACAGTAAAGGACATATATTGGTAGCTGATCCTGAGGCATCTTACATCTTTATGTTTACGTCCGATGGAGATTTCATAATGAAGATTGGGAAGGAAGAAGGTGAAGGTAAACTGAATAACCCCCACTTCGTTGCTACTGGCAGGAAAGATGACGTCATTGTGTCTGACAGTCGCCACGGACTGGCATTATTCACCCAGCGTGGACAGTTTAAACGTGGAATTCATCAAATAGGAGACGATGACAAACTATATGACAGCAATGGTGTTGCTGTCGACAGTCATTATAACATTGTAGTAGCCGACCAGGGATCCACTCCAAATAGAATACTAGTATTAACGTATTTTGGGACTGTTATTCAATGTCTTGAAAGTCAACACAATAAACTGAGTAGTCCGCATGGTGTGGCTGTGACACAAGATGGGTATGTAATTGTTGCTGATGCAAATAATGACTGCATCAAGAAATACAAACTGTAAACTGTATCGCGGTGACTACAGTCAAACTAAACCATATAGGTCGATATAAATGAATATTGACATAAACCACTGTGACAAATACTTAAACGCTGCCTAAAATGAACTATATTGATACTGCATCTAAATAGCACACGATCAAGCCAAGATTAAGTATAGATCAGTGTATATTTGGTAGTCAATGAGTGCATATTACAAGAAAATATATCATAATATCTCCATGAAGCCAAATAAATGTTAGCAGTGTATAATAAAATTGTTATACAGCGTACTTAGTTGCATGATATCGCTAACACCCGAGACTGGGACAAGTATACTAATGTAACAACCTGGCCGCCGATACCATCACTCCAAAATATTTCATTTGTGAACATGTATCTCGTCATTTCGGAGGAGTGCGCCGTAATCTTGAGATAACGCATGTGATTCAACAATATCCCGCTATGTGTTGACTGGCAACAAGAATGATTAATTCAATGCATGCTTTCCCGTGGTTAATATGAATAATTAGACTAAGACGAAGAGTGCACACTGCGCTGGGTGCAGATAATACATGGAAACGATATATTCGAATTTGCTATTCAAGTTCCCAAATATAATTATAACATTTGCAATTACTATTAAATATCATACATTTAAATATATACTTTAGACTGTGTTGTATATGTATTATATTTATTGTTTACATCAAATGACTTGGTGACATCCATCCTGATCCTCTACTATACGTTGTGTCAGTTGGAAGAGTTACATGACAATACTGTAATATCATTGAGACATAATTCTTGAGAAATGTTTGTTTAAATAAATAAAATGCTTTCAATTATTGTACAACATGTTCACTGTATTTTCTGTGGAAGAATGCCATATAAAGTTAAGTACAAATCCCTCGAAATATGCGACCTAGATTAACCCAGTCATGGAATGTGTGTTATGTTCATGAGAATGATAATATATTATTGTGATAATGAAATAAAAACATATAAATATACAGAACGACATAATAATGAAAAATGTGATATGCACATTGACCAATATTTAAATATTGAAAAAATTCTGGCTTTTTGTCACTAATCTCACCCCATAAAATAACAGTTATGTTATTATGCACTATTATTATTATGTATTATGGATACACCAATTACTCGATTGCGTTATAGTAGTAATATATTATGTTAGGTTAAAACAGAGTTGTTAATTCTTATAAATACATGTATATAACCCCAGGAACAATAGTTTGTCGTATTCAACTTTCAGACAGTTAAATATTCTTTCAGTTTTCCGAGTTCAAATCCAAAAATGACGATTGGAAATCGGGTGCCTCCCTCTATTCCGTGCTCGCGCACCATTCAATCAGACAGAAAATGACTAAGTCTAGTTTGTTCGGCTACAGAAGGACTGTGGTTCGGTCAATTAGCTTTCAGTATAGACCAGGCGATACAAAATGTTGAAAAGAAATGAAAAACGTCACACATTGTATCACTTAAATGCAGAAAATCCTCTCCATTGTCATCGTTACAAAGGCCATTATAAATGACAGAACTGGGGGATAAGTCTGTTTCCATTCATTTATGCTCCTATCCTGGTGCACTATTTTTTGTGTTATCTCAGCTCTTCAGCTGATAATTGCGTTTTTGGGTTTAAATTATATAGGTTGTTGATGTGGTTTACCGCTAACAGAAAACTACCTTAAGACATATCACGACTGTATATTTGACGGCACTAGTCCGAATAAAACGCACTTCTGAAAGCGGTTTTCATTAGTTTTCTACCATTATCCATGGAAATGCCATTATATCCTAAGGGGTCGATCATTTTAAATCACGGGGGGTGGCCGGAAGATTCGTTTAAACAAAAACTTACAAGCTGGCACAGAAAGAAAAAAGTGCATGCAAAGTGTAGCAGGGAAATTACGTCAACACATTCAAGAAACAAATTAAATGTACAGATAAAAATGTACGGGACGAAAAAATGCACAAGTGAGTCACACTCTTCCATCCAGGCAGGATTTCAAATGTTCGACCCCTAAATGTTTTACATGTAGTGCAGTTATTGAGAAATGACTAGCGGCTCAGTTCAGCTTTGTACATGTACATTGTACAGCTTTAGTGTGTGTGTATGATGTTGCATGATAATATCTGCGGATAGTCTAATTGTGGTGGGAGACAGTACTACAATGCTGTGACAGAGGGAAGCCGCGCAGGGGGAATCCCATTGCGTGACGTCATTGGGTAACCCACAATGCACCAGTCAGTATGGCGACCACTTTTCACTTCTCTGCTGAAACGCCTCCCGAATCTTTATTTTCAGACATTCAAACGTTAAACAAGTTCAACGATGACGTAAGTGATTGTTGCGTGTCATAGATCAGCAAGATTTACATTTCATCGCTACATATGCTCACGTTTAGTCCTAATGACCAAAGAAACGGGTCAAGCTCGTTAGCAGGGGTGCAAACCTGGAACGAGCCGCAAACGACCGACGGAGCACCCATGACCTCGGTCTCGGAGTTGTGAATTTATTGGAACCTTAGATTTGAAACAAGCTTCTTGGTACATGTTAATTTGGCATGGCGGTAAAAGTGACAGTTATGGAGCAGATTTTTGGTCCCACCCTCTGGCCTTACCCGCCCCTTGTACTTGACGACTTCCAGTATTTCCAATTTGTCTAAACTTTTGAAATATTGAAAATTGAATACATGCCAACTCCGTTATTTGTCTAATATTTAATCTTGATAAATTATGATTTGTGAAATTTATTGTACATTTTGTTATTCTTCTTATAGCAATTTAAACAGTTAGTAAGCATAGTTTTGGCTTTCCTGAAAGAACCAAACAAGGTAAGATTGTGGACATTGTTCAAAAGTTACAGTAAACCATAAGGTTTAACAAAAACATGGAAACATTTGGTAAGACTTTCTTAAGACCCCTCGCCCCTAACTGTAATCCTAACCTTGCATATATATTGCATATACAGTATGTATGTCTTCAGGGGTGTATATATAATTATATTGCAAGCTGTGGTGTTAGAGTTAGGGTTAAAGGTAAGCTTAAGGTTAGGAGTGGGGGAGTTAAGGAAGTCTTTTATTTTTGTGCACATATTAACATAAATACTGTTGTCGCCAACATAGTTTTTGAAACAAAAAATCTTGTTTTTATTGATATAAACGCAGGACTCTACGATGAAAAAAGTAACCAACAGTCCTTTCATATGACTTGTTTTTGAAACTGTGTATAACAAAAGGCATTGTTGAGAACAACATTTTCTAAAAATAAGTCACCAATAATTTTATATCTTGCATGTATTTGTGTGTTATTAGTTTAGTCCTATATCAATATATTGAAGATAGACCGTTTTTTTGCATTCACTTTGAAGGGTTCCTGTAATGACCATACTCGAGTATAATTAAAACAGATTCCTGAAAACATTGATTTGTAATTCAAGGAAATATTTCATATTCTCAAAATGAAATTAAATCTAGCAAATAAATATAGCAATTCAGAAATATAAAATGCACTT